TTCGTCGAGGGTGCGCGTTTGTGGGCTGTCGGGTCTGTCCCCAGACCTCCTCGCGTCGAGGGCTCAGAGTTTTCTCTGATAGTCTTCCTCGTTCTCGCAGGCTCCTGCAGGTTTCGCAGCCTCGGGGTGCTTTCGGCGGCGTTCGCCTCGCCGCAGGCGCTCCGGGCATGCCCGGAGCGTCCCAAACTGCCGTCGAAGACCCGCGTCCCGAAAGCCAGAGGAAACCTAGAGTTAGGTCGGCCATGTCTTCCTACTGGCGGATCCTGGAAGAAACATTGAAATTATCCGTATCCCAAAATAGCCAGAAGTAGTCAAAAAATCGCCCACTGACTTTTTTCTTGACTATTGTCGAAGGGCCCCTCGCGTCGTGGAAAAGCGCGGCGGACAGCTGTTGTTTGGCCGCTTTCGGCCTTTGGGGGCTCCCGCCGGGCCCCGGGGCCGTCCAACAGGGGCTCGGGATGCAAAACTGATCTTGGGTCGGGATCCCGCAGAGGGGATGGGTGCCCTGGTGTGTGTGTGTGTGTGTGTGTGTGTGTGTGTGTGTGTGTGTGTGTGTGTGTGTGTGTGTGTGTGTGTGTGTGTGTGTGTGTGTGTGTGTGTGTGTGTGTGTGTGTGTGTGTGTGTGTGTGTGTGTGTGTGTGTGTGTGTTGTGTGTGTGTGTGTGTGTGTGTGTGTGTGTGTGTGTGTGTGTGTGTGTGTGTTGTGTGTGTGTGTGTGGTGTGTGTGTGTGTGTGTGTGTGTGTGTGTGTGTGTGTGTGTGTGTGTGTGTGTGTGTGTGTGTGGGTGTGGTGTGTGTGTGTGTGTGTGTGTGTGTGTGTGTGTGTGTGTGTGTGTGTGTGTGTGTGTGTGTGTGTGTGTGTGTGTGTGTGTGTGTGTGTGTGTGTGTGTGTGTGTGTGTGTGTGTGTGTGTGTGTGTGTGTGTGTGTGTGTGTGTGTGTGTGTGTGTGTGTGTGTGTGTGTGTGTGTGTGTGTGTGTGTGTGTGTGTGTGTGTGTGTGTGTGTGTGTGTGTGTGTGTGTGTGTGTGTGTGTGTGTGTGTGTGTGTGTGTGTGTGTAGTGTGTGCGTGTGTGTGTGTGTGTGTGTGCGTGTGTGCGTGCGTGCGTGCGTGCGTGAGTGCGTGCGTGCGTGCGTGCGTGCGTGCGTGCGTGCGTGCGTGCGTGCGTGCGTGCGTGCGTGCGTGCGTGCGTGCGTGCGTGCGTGCGTGCGTGCGTGCGTGCGTGCGTGCGTGCGTGCGTGCGTGCGTGCGTGCGTGCGTGCGTGTGTGTGTGTTGTGCGTGTGTGTGTGTGTATGTATGTGTGTCTGTCTGTGTGTCTGTGTGTCTGTGTGTCTGTGTGTCTGTGTGTCTGTGTGTCTGTGTGTCTGTGTGTCTGTGTGTCTGTGTGTCTGTGTGCGTGTGCGTGTGCGTGTGCGTGTGCGTGCGTGTGTGGGAGTGTGTGTGTTTGTGCGTGTGTTTGTGCGTGTGTGTGATGTATGTATGTGAGAGTGTGTGTGTGTGTCTGTGTGTGTGCGGTCGTGCGTGCGTGCGTGCGTGCGTGTGTGTGTTGTGTGTGTGTATTGTGTGTATGTGAGAGTGGTGTGTGTGTGTCTGTGTGTGTGTGGGTTCGTGCGTGAGTGCGTGCGTGCGTGCCTGCGTGCGTGTGTGTGTGAGAGAGAGAGTTCGCTCGGTTTTTGCACCGAACCACCCAAAACAGATGCCCCCGCTGCCGGCAGTTCCCGATGGTTGCCGATAGGTGGGGCATGCGGGGGGCATCTGTTTGCGGCAGTTTGGTGCACCAGCGGATCGAACTCATGCCCCCCCTCAGGGTCACCCCCCCTGTGGTGGATCCCGATTGGGGAAAGGGTTGAGACATCCGTGGGCCCACGTATGGAATGAAAAGCAAAACATCGCACGTCTGGGCAAGGCTGACACCTCACCGCTGACCCCTTGGGGTGTCGGTTTCCCGGGCATTCTCCCACTGCCGCCGTGGAGCAACGCTCGCCACCGTTCGCCCCCAGGGGCTGGTGGAAACATAGGCATAGGGAGGGCTTGGAACAGTCAGGGTGAGGACGGTCGGACGGTCAGCCTGGTGTTTTGGAGAGCTCCAGAGAGCTTTTTGGAGGCATCTGGGCCTCTTAGGGGCCTCCTCAAGCGTCTTGGGGGCGTCTTAGGCAGCGTACGCTCCCAGATATCACTAAGCTTTGAGCGCCTTCCTGTTTCAACAATCGAAGGGGCTTCTTTTGTGCCCTCCATTTCTGGGAGCGGGCCGAAACGCAACTCCATCTTGCCGCCTCCCGGCTTCTTGGCTATGCTTATTTCTTTACGGACAGCCTGTAGGTTTAACCTTGACCCTCGATTCCACCGTAGCGCGGATCCATTTGTTTGTGCCAGGGATCGTCGTGGCGTTGTGAGTAAGCGCGGATCCATTGTTTTTCACGAAGGGCAGCTGACTCGGGAGGGGGGTCGGGGGAGGGGGATCGCTGCTTCGGGAGAGGGGGCGGAGGGCGCCGTGGGCAGAGGCGGGGACCCTCTTGAAGATTACAGATTCGAGCACACCGAAAACAGGGCAGACCAGCGAAAAGATGGACAGACGATATCATAGCACATTTCCGCGTTCAAGTTTCCGACACCACGAAAACTCTCAGCGACATGATGCAGGCGGCGTGCACGAACGAACGGAGTACGTACGAGGAGTCGTTCTGTGCATGACGACCTCCCCGTACCGCCGTTTCCTCTTCCTCCTGTTCCTCCTTCCCTCGTGTTCAGCAGGCGGTCTGTTTACCAGTAGGGTACCACGCGCTGCTGTCATCGTTTCCATTCCCAGGCTGTTTTTTGGCGCTCCGGTGCCATGCCGGGCCCTCGCGGCCCACAGCGGCAAGCTTCGTGTCTCGTGCTTCGTACCAGGCAGACCTTCGCATTCTTCCACGCCTCAATCAACGTGCTCCCCAAGAAAACGTCCCAAGGAACGCGCCAGCCAGGGGACGTGGCAAAGGACGTGCCACAGAACGGGCAGGGGAAGCGCCAGAGGGCGAGCCAGGGAACGCGCAAGAGGACGAGCCAGGGAACGTGACACGGGACGCGCCGAGGGGCATGCCAGGAGGCTTGCTAGGAGACGTCACGCCAGGGGGCGCGGCAAGGGGGGGGGCACATCTTTTCATTGGGGAGGTCCGGGAGGGGAGCGGCTCGGGATTTGTCCGTGATCCGTGCCTGGCGGATGACGGGAAGCGCGCCCAGGCCCAGACTCAAATCGCACCGGAAGTTCAGGAAGATGGAGGCCTCCGCCGGCGGGTGACTGGATTCGGCCCAAACGGGGCTCAGCCAGAGCGCCAGATCCTGCAGGACCCCTTGTGATTTGAGCGTCGCATTTTTTTTTTACACCAAAGGTTTTCGCTCGGTTCCGGGCCAAGGAACCCTCACAAATCGATACAGTTCGGGATCAAGCGCAGACAAATGGGGTCGAGGGCTCTGGTCGCTGTTTTTGGCTCGCCATGCTGCGTTTTTTCACGACGTCGAATCTCAGGGCCCTGCAAAGCCGGATTTTGGGTGAGCCGGGTTGGGGAGCCGCTCGCGGCCCCAGAGGCGGTCTTCCATTTCGCTGATCCGGGCCTGGGGAGGAGGAGGAGGAGGAGGAGGAGGAGGAGGAGAAGGAGGAGGAGGAGGAGGAGGAGGAGAATGGGGAGGAGGAGGAGGAGGAGGAGGAGGAGGAAAAACGATAGAGAGAGGAGGAGCCCCCTCTAAGCATTGAAGCGCAGTTTCTCCGAAATTGGCCGAGCTGGGTTTGAGCTGTGCCTGGTCAGTCCACGCCAGAAGGTCGAGGGGTAAGGCCTGAGCTCTGGGCTCGGATATCTCCCGGGCTGGAAGCCACGGCAGCACAACTTGCACATACTGGAAAAACAACTTGCCGCCCAGAAGACATGGTAGTAATGCCTACGGCTCCCGCCACCTGTATCCCCATTCTCACCGACCCGATTGCCGCATCACCCGCTCACGGACTCACAGCCCCCCCCCAGCGCTCCGAAGGGAGAGGCGCCCACCCAAGGGCCAGCCCTCCCGACTCTCCGCCCACTCCCTCGCCGCGGGGGATGCGCGCGGCCCTGTGTCATACAGTGCAAACCCATGCCAAGCAACACCGTGCTTGCCTCCAGGGTGCCCTGGGTCTCTTGGGCTTCGAGGGCTTCGCGATGGAGAGCGTGACGCTCCAACACCAAGAATCAGTGGACGTCCTGGGGTCCCAAGGTTGGATATCTTGTGTCGCAGAAAACGCCATAAGCATAAACTTTCGTCGCTCCGCGCGGATTTCCCTGGATCCGCGCTGGGGCCCCCCTTGGCGGCGCCTCCGGCGCCGCCCCTGGCGCGCTCCGCGCGCCAGGGAGGTGGGGTCCGGCGCGGATCCAAGAAATCCGCGCGGAGCGCCAACAATTTATATGTATGGCGCTTTTTCTTTTTCTATGACAGCAATTTCTTCAAAGTCCCACTGCACAGTGGGGGCCCAATGCCAGGAAGCACCCTGCTCGCCTCCAGGGTGCCGCGGGTTCCCTGGGTGTCGACGGTTTTGCTATGAAGAGCGTGGCGTTCCCACACCACAAACTGAGGGACGTCCTGAGGTCTCAGGAGGGTTGGGTTTCTTGTGGAAGGTTGTGATGTTCCAAACTACTTCAGCCTTGATCACCAGGAAGAATGTCGAGCACCAGGGAAATACCGAAATCGGAAGGTTTTCACGTGTCGGGCCCTGGGAGGCGATACTCGTTCGACACTGTTTCGCTACTTATCTGGGTGCTCGAAATTATTTCTGGGACGTGGTCCTGAAGCACGATGGTCAGAGCGTGAATTACCTACCCCGCTTTCGCTTCCAGGCAAAACCAAGCCGTACCACGCGCCTCCTCGTCAAGCGCCCTGACCAGTACAGGCTCTCAGTTTGGCATCGTTTGGTATCTCTTGGAAGCGAGGGTGGTCAAAAGCGAGGTAGGTTTGTTTTCCCCCTAGGTGGGAGCAACATGCGTGGAAGGTTTCCTGTGGACTGGCCCCCGCTGCATCCGCCGATGGCGCAGCGACGCGACTGCTCGGGAGCAGCGCGAGAGGGCTTTGCACGGGCGGCGGCCCAGAATGCACGCGGCCTGCCTCGGCGAGGTCGGCGCTGCTCGTGCTATATCGGGCGTGTCCCCCATACAGGGGGATTTTCGACGAAAAATGAAAACTACCCTAAAAATACCCCAAGAAGGTCAAAACATACTAAAAAAATAGTCCCCATACCATTTTTGAACTATGTTTTTATTCTTTTTGGTGTATTTTTCGTTTTTCGTCGAAAATCCCCCTGTAGGGGGACAGGCCCGACTTAATGCTCGTGCAAGAGGGCGCCTCCGGGACCCCTTCAGAGGCCGCAGGAGTTGGAGCCAGCGGGGGGTCTGAGGTTAGGCGAACAAGAAGTGGCATAAACACAAAACTCGGAGGTCCACGCGGATTTCTCGGATCGGCGCTGGGGCCTCCCGGCGGCGCCTCCGGCGCCGCCCCTGGCGCGCTCCGGGTCCAGCGCCGATCCGAGAAATCCGCGCGGACCTCCGAGTTTTTATGTTTATGTCACTTTTTGTTCCCCTAGAGGTGGCCCGGCCTCTGTTCTGGCGAGCAGGGACGGGAAAGAAGGAGGTGCGAGGCTGTGGGTGCGACCAGGTCTGCCGCCTTCTGCGGCCTCTGGTGGCCGTTTTCGGTCCCTGGGACTGTCAGACATGGATCCGGGGCGCAACAATTCACCAGATGGACCGCGCGGGGGGTCCGGAGACCGATTTCGAGCGGATTTGGCCCCATCCCCCCTCCTGGCACCGATGTTCTGGGGCCCCAACCAGTGCAGACCCCCCCGCCGCCTCCCACGCTTGCGCCCCCCCAGCACGGCCCAGGAGGGCGCCGACGGCGGAGCAGGGCTCGAGGCACGTTGGCCCGAGCACTTGGGTCCGAGGCCCGCGGGCGTCGCGGTGAGCCGATGGAGAGCATCGTGTGCGAAAGCCTCGTCTTCACTTGCATCGCATCGGCCCTTCGGGCAGAGGATGTGGCCGCTTTCGAGCAGACCTCGACGGGGCCCAGGGCCATGGTAGGGGTGACGAGGACCTGGGCCGGCCGGGCAGCTGCAAATAGCGACGCAGCGATGCGAGAGGCATGCCTTTGGAAGGAGGATGCTTCTCAAGGAGGTTTTGTTGACCAGGCGGGGGCCAGCTGCGGCACAGCGGCGGTGCTCCAGGCGTTCGCGGTGGCAAAGGGCCTCGACCCGGGGCACTTCGCGAACGACGGCATTTGGAATTCCCTCCCGCGTTCTTGGATGCGGACTCGTTCATGGAATGTTGGTTCATCTTTGAGCGTCTCACGCGAATTCTGCGAATCGCTTCGCACAGTGCGAGCCTTGGTTGGCCACAAGGGTGTAATCAAGAGCTGTGCGAAGGTGGTTCATGGAAAGGAACGCGTTCGCCGTCTCGCTAATCTGGCAAGTGAGGGCCGGCTCGATATTTACAGTCTTATCGCCCAGCTCGAGGTATGCTTGGTTGCCCGCTTCATTTTGGACAACTCGGTAGTCGGCGCCTCCATCGACAAGAAAAGATGGTGTGACAGCGTGAGGCAAGCACTCGATGTTGTTTCTCCTTCCAGCCTTGGTTATGCCCCAAGTGCTCTTTACGCCCGAAGCGATTCTGCTTCAATTGCTGGCTCAAGCTTTGTATCTACCCCGAACTACGAGGAGCTGTTTGATACGAACGAGCCATGGGAGCACGAGAACTCAGATGTGTTGGAGATGCGGCAGAACGCGCAATCGAGTCGCGTCACACAAGTCCGCGAGAGCACGTCTGTTCAAGACTGATTAAGCTGCGCCAGACGAAGCGCAGCCCAGACTATGCAAGTGAATCGGCCTCGTGCTGTGGATCTTCAGCACCACGGCCCACCAATCAATTTAGAATATTTAGCGGCTTGCGGTCCGACACTCCACTGTGCTTGAGTCCTCTTAGATGTGTCTTGGGAGGCCTCTCAAGGGCCTCATGGTGGCCTGCCTGGGTTTTTTTTGAGGGTCTTCCTTTGGGGCCTCTTGGGAGTCTCCTGGCGGTCTCGGAGGCCATGTTTGTGAGGAGGGCTCCAACAGTAAGTTCGTGTTCCCTCTCGTGGGTCCTGTTTGGGGGCCTGTTTGGCCCATCTTACGGGGCCTCTTGGGGCGATCTTGGGCTCATTTAGCACCGATCAGAAGGCAAGGTTACAATCATACAGGCCGTTTGGTCCCGCCCCCAGGGCCTCCAAGACGGCCCAGCAGGCCCCCAATGGGGCACCAGGACGGACCATGAGACGGTATTTGGTGATGTCGGAAGCGTGCGCCCCAACCGCGCTGCCGAGCCACTTCTAGCGGAGGTTAAGCCGAGCAAAGCAAACTATCCGCCGCCGATGTGGCTCACAGCGGCGTGCTGCATTATTTGCCTATACCATTCTTCGTTTACCACTGCGTAGGGACAATCTACATCGTACTTCTAGCATTCACCGTTTCACATATGTGCCTGGTATCAGGTCACTCGTCGCTGTGACTTACTTCACCTCACTGCTGGGATATGGGGAACTTCTAAAACGTCATAGACATTTGTGTCTATATCTATATATATATATATTGCAGCCGACCGTGCCAGTTTGGATTTGGTATGTGGTAGCGCAGTTGGCCTCAGTGCCGCGTGGCTGGCTCTGACCCAAGTATTGGCATTCCACAGAACAGTTCGGTAGGCCAGGAACCTGGTGGTTCCTACTGCGCCCACGTTCCTTCGCGGAACGGAACCAGGCCATTGGCTTACTTTTGACGATACACCAGCCGACGGCCACGTCAACCACTACCTGTGCGCTACGGCTATACACCACGACGCCCCCAATCACCACCAACAGCCAATTGACAAAAAGCTTCACCACGAGGTCAACAGATGTGGTTCGATGCCACTGCACGGGGGCGCGTGCACCGATCCGAAAGCTGACGGCCACGTCAGAGCAAAAGCCAAGACCATCACACGAATGACCAAGATCTCATGGTGCGTCATATCAGGATCACGAACTTTGGCATCATATGGATATGCCTCGGTTTTGCAATTCGGTACATGAAACGGGAGTGTGATGGCACCCGTACCTGAGGTCGTTCCCAGGGCCTCGAAGGCAACATACTACTTCGCGAGTTCGTCCACGAAGCTCACTCATAGTTACATGTTACCAGCGGCACGATGGCACCACCCAAACAAGCTGTCGCATGACAGTGCGGTTTGAGTGGTCTCGCGAGGGCAAATGTGATGAAGGTGCCGCCCACATCATCAACTACGAAGTGACCATCCCAGGTTCATGCAACGACGGAGCATCTACATCATGTTCGTCCTCAGTTCCAAACTCGGAAACTTAGAAGACGAACGGCAACTGACGTCTGGTACGACTCTCATCGACTTCCGCATTGAACGCGCTAGCTACTGCTACACTACTGAGCTGTTCTACTACTATTACTTGAGTTGGCTACCAGTTCACGCGCTATGCGACTACTCCGCTACTATGCTACTACGACCAACAGTTACTCTACTACTGAGCGCGCGCCTACTACTACTCTTACTGAACTGCGCGTAACCTATACTACTATCTACTACTACTACTGCGCTACTGGCCTACTACTACTGAACTACTACGAGGCTACTCCATTATCTAAGTGACTACTAACTACGCATACACTTTACCTTACTACTCTGCCCTAATCATGCACACCTACGATTTATACTCTACTATTACGACTACTACACTACCCACTTCTACGACTTCTACTATACTATACGCCCCCCGTGACTACTAACTACCTACTACTGCCCCCCGGCTTGGTTCCCGGTAGACTGTGAGAGGCTTGAGAAGCTCTGAGACTGCTGCGAGGCTACTGAGAGGCTACTCTGAAGCTTCTGAGGTTTCTGAGGGCCCCTCGCCTCGTCGCCGTCGACGTCGTCGACCCCCCAGTCGTCGTTCCGCGATTTACGTTTCGGTTTACTTTTTCGTTGTTTACTACCCCTAGGCCATACGGGCCTACTACTACTAAAAACGTCCCACGGTAAAAACCGTCGGACTACCGCCCTACTACGGTTCGCCAGGAAGAAAAAACCACGAGGAGGAGGAGGAGGAGGCTGGAAGAGGAAGAGGAGGAGGGGGAAGCGAGGAGGGGGATAATAGGGAGCGTCGGCGGCGGCGGCGACTACTACGACTACTACAACTACTACGACTACTACTACTACTGCTACTACTACTGCTACTACTGCTACTACTACTTCTACTACTACTACCACTACTACTACTACTACTACTACTACTACTATTACTACTACTACTACTACTACTACTACTACTACTACTACTACTACTACTACTACTACTACTACGATTACGACTACTACGACTACTACATACTACTACTACTACTATTACTACTACTACTACTACTACTACTACTACTACTACTACTACTACTACTACTACTACTACTACGATTACGACTACTACGACTACTACATACTACTACGACTACGACTACTACTATTACTACTACTGCTCCTACTACTGCTACTACTGCTACTACTACTACTACTACTACTACTACTACGACTACTACTACTACTACTATTACTACTACTATTACTACTACTATGACGACTACTACGACTACTACAACTACTACAACAAAAACTACTACAACAAAAACTACTACTATGACGACTATTACTACTACTATGACGACTACTACAACAAAAACTACTACTACTACTGCTACTACTACTGCTGCTACTACTGCTACTACTACTACTACTACTACTACTACTACTTCTACTTCTACTACTACTACTACTACTACCACTACTACTACTACTACTACTACTACTACTACTACTACTACTAAACTACTACTACTACTACTATGACTACTACTATTACTACTACTATTACTACGACTACTACTACTCCTACTCCTACTCCTACTACTCCTACTACTACTACTACTACTACTACTACTACTACTACTACTACTACTACTACTACTACTACTACTATTACTACTACTATTACGACTACTACGACTACTACAACCTCCAGCACAAGTGTCCCTCAAGACCCCAGATCACCAAGTTCGCGCATCGTGCCCCGCGATGCGCGACGCGCGATTCTTTCCGCGCCGTCGCGCCGCTCTCGCGGACTCTGGCCCAGACCTAGAAGACCCAGGATGTCCAGGGGTTGATCGTAACTCTCGCGCTGAAGCTTTAAGTCAGATCCTCGAGTCGAGGATTTGGGACGTCCTGAGCCTGTTTCTGGACCTCGCGCGGCCTCTGGATTCGCGAGCCCACTGGGGAGTACCTCCAGGGGCCTCGGGGGGCGTCCACAGACTTACGACACGTCCTCCTCCTCCTCCTCCTCCTCCTCCTCCTCCTCCTCTTCCTCCTACTCTCCCCCACCTCCTCCTGAACCTCCGCTTTCTCCTCCTCCTCATCCTCCATCTCTTTCCCTTATGAACAACTCTTCCATGTCGAACCCCAGACGTGTCAGTGGGGCGGGCAAGGCCCCAGACGTGTCAGTAGGGCCGGCCGGGCGTTTCGCCTTAGACTTCCCCCATATATGTGATCCTGAAGCCTGCAATTCGCAACGGTGTCACGCATGGAGGGCGGGCCATTTTCAAAATGAGGCGCTCGCCTTTGCGTCGCGCGCACTCGTCCTAACAGTCTGCAGCAACTTCGAGGATTGGAGGGTGGCTCCTTCTCAAAACGCAGCTCTCGCCATGGCGCCCCGCACGTTTGCTTTGAGAGCCTGCAGCCACTTCAGGGACGGAGGGCGGCCGGCTCCTTCTCGAAAGGTGGCTCTCGCCATAGCGCCGCGCACACTAGCCCTAAAAGTTCGCCACGGCGTCAAGGATGGAGGGCGGCTCCTCTTCAAACATGTGGTCGTGGTCCGAGCGCCGCGCACATTCGCCCTAATGGTTTGCCACAGCTGAATTCGGAGTCGTATGACTGAAGTCCCGGCACTTGTGTTCTATCACGATTTAGGATTGTCAGGATGCCACAATTACGTTGATTCGCGCTGGAGTCCCAGGAATTGCGTTCTGGCGCGGTTTCGGATGCTAATCCGCGGTGTTGAAGTCCCTGGAATAATGCTCTGGCGCGATTGGGGATTGTCAGACGGTTGCCTTCTAATGGGCCACTTGCCGCACTGAAAATAAATGTTGTAGGGACCTATTAAGACGGAACTTGGAGTTGGAGGGAGGGTTTATTGCAACATCTTTGATGCGTCTTGGGTTTACAGAGGTCCTCCTCCTCCTCCTCCTTCTCTCCTCCTCCTCCTCCTCCTCCTCCCCCTCCTCCTCCTCCTCCTCCTCCTCCTCCTCCTCCTCCTTCTCCTCCTCTTCCTAGGTACAAGAGAAAGGACGGGGCTCCAGCGCCGCGCCGTCGTCCGCGCCGGTGCCCGCCACGCCGGGCTCCAGCGGGCCGACGTCGCCTTCGCGCTCCATGTACCGCACCTGCGCGCGGGCCAGCAGCAGCAGCAGCAGCAGCAGCGCAGGCCTGAGCGAAAGCCACCAGGCGACGGTCGCGGCGGGCGGGTCGAGCGGCGCGGCGCAGAGAGGCAAGGAGTGTGCCCGCCGCATCGATCTGCCTCGGCTGGGGAGCCTGCGCCTGCGGAGCGCATCCAGCTGCCTCGGTCGGATTGGGGGGCGCCTCTCCTTCGCGGCAGCTTGTTCTTCTGCTGCTCGTCTTCTTCCCCTCCTCCAGCGGCCGCAGCAGCAGAGCCTCTGGCGCAGCGGTGGCCAACTCAGCGCCCGCGCAGCCCCTCCTCCTCCCCCTCCACCTCCTCCTCCTCCTCCTCCTCCTCCTCCTCCTCCTCCTCCTCCTCCTCCTCCTCTCCTCCTCCCCCTCCTCCCCCTCCGCCTCCCCCTCCCTCCCTCCC